CATGCTTTACTCAAAGTGGGCATGATTGCTATATACGTCTACTATCTTCCACAACATCTCAAAACTCTCAACAAACAATAAGAATTTGATAAAGGCAGCACAATAATTAGAAAATTTAGGTTTATGTTAAGATCTAGCATTGTAATGCATTTATATAATAAATAAAGCCCATAATTAAGTTTGCTTTTGGTTAGAGGCCGTGATCAAGGTTTTTTTTTTTTTTTTTTTTTAGAAAAATTATGAATTTTTTCATGCAAAGTTTCCATAGAGTTTCCGAATTTCATTAAAAAGGGAAACTTTTTTTAAGTTTTCGAAATGTTTTCGAAGAGTTTCGATTTCCGAAATGGAATGCTAGCGTTTGGAGAGTTACCGTGCATTATAGTTTCCGATCATAATACTACAGTAGAGGTAGAAAAACACATGGAAGTTCAAAATCCGGACTTGCTAATCCTTATACATGGAAACTGACATGGTATAGACGTGTAAGGACGAAAAACATTCCGGTGAAATTGCAATTGAAGACCTTAAGCTCGAGCCACGCTCTAATAATGAACAAGTTTAGAAGAGTACTAACCAAAGAAAAGGGAATTGACCTTTCCAATCACGAAAGAATCAAAGGTAAGGCTAGTCAAATTGAGAATAAAAGTTTCATTGACCTTCTTTGCATTTTCGGTGCCAATCAATTGGATAATCATAATGGAAATATGGATGGTGTGGATTTGAGTCCTCATGCCAATTATTCTGTATTGAAGAAATCATTACTAGACGTTATAGTAGATGATGAGATACGTGAAGAATTGAAAATAGTACTAGCGGCCTCTACTGAAAGTGGACTTAAGAATGAATACAACATATGAATTATCCATGAGGAAGATATGTGTAAAATAGGAGCAAAGTTGACTTTAAATAATGCAATTAAGGAATGTAGCAGTTTTTCGAGCGCATCAAGAGATGAACATTTCTTCAATATTAGTATTTATAGAAATTTTGAGTATTTTCCTCCCGATTGATAACTTTTCTCTTCTTCAACCAAACTTGAGGACGTGTTTTTCTTCAACTAGGGAAGAATGATATAGGACAATCATATTCCAAATAGGATTGATTTTATCTATTTTCTTCATTTTTCTTACTTAGGTTAGGATTTCTTTTTCTTTTTTATTTAGAATAGATTTCTTTTTATTTTTTTTTATATTAGGATTTTAGCTTTCTTTCCTTTTAGGATTTTATTTTAGTTTCCTTATATTAGTAAGATTATATAAATAAAGATTTTGTACTCTTTACAGTCATCAATTATATACAATAAAATTATTATCCACAGATTTTCGAGTTTTTTTAACTTTCTTCTTGTTTCAAGAATTTTAACTCAGCTTCCGCACCGTGACTTTTTCTTGCTAAAAAGGATCTGATTCACCTTAAATTGCTACCACTAAGCCATTGCCTAGCCTTAGAATCGCATTACCACCAACATTACATTTATTTCCTGGAATCTCTTCGAAATTTTACACCTCATCCCCAATGACGACCGAATCCAAAAATTCCTCAACTTCGATGCTACTGTAAAACTCCGGGAAATTAATCATGAAATCATCAATGATCGCCGTACAGACCTTTACCCTTGCGCGGCTACATTTGGGGGAGCGATTGGGTTTTCTATGGCCAATATCACTTGGCCGTGCTTATCCTAATGCTGGGCGACGTTGCAACATCACCATTCATACCACCAATTGTTTGACTTGTCAACTCAATTATGCATTCTCTTCTAAAGATAATACATCCAACATTAGTGCGTTTTGAGCCTCTTGGAAGCATAGTTAGGGTTAAACTTTGTCTTGGTACCAACTAATGCAACGCTTGTTATTGATTAAGAACAAAGACATGATTAAGTCGAAAACAAAAGAAAACGATTGGGAAGCTTTAGCCCCTGTTTGAGCCCCACTCTTTAAAAACTAATTTTTGCCAAACTCATTTTCAACTACACATTCTCTCAATAAAATAATTTTACACGTAAACCTAAAATTATTTTTTAACCACACATTTTTCATAAAATCATTATTACAAAATCTATTCTCCCAAAAATGGAACTCAAACGAACCCTTAATAATGTAGAATATCAGGAGAGAGAATACCGATAAACTTAGAATATAATTGGAATTAATTTTATATATGTGGGTTAAAGCTAATATTTTAATTAGAGAAGCTAAAAGCAAAATCTAAGAAGCTACCATTTCACAGCTTCTCAAAATTTGTTATCAGACTATATAACTACTTTAACGATCTTAGAAGTTATCAAACAAAATAGCTTTGATTATTTGTATAGCAAATGAATGCATTGACTCAAGACTGCGCCTAGGGGTTTTAGGAATGTTATGTAAGATTGACATTCTGAAGGCTTATGATCACGTTAATTGGGGATTTGTTTTGTATGAGCTCAGGCAATGTGGTTTCGGGGAGAAGTGGTGCCAGTGGATTTAGTTTTGTATCTCTATGGTTTCTTTCTCAGTTATGGTGAATGGCACTCCTGAGAGTTATTTTCGTAGTAGTAGAGGATTGAGGCAAGGGGATCCTCTGTCTCCACTGTTGTTTGTCATTGTAATGGAAGCCTTCAATATGATGCTTGAAAAGGTCTTGGGGTAAAGTTTGTTAAGGAGCTTTTTTGTTGAGCAGTTGCGGGTTTCTCATTTGCTATTTGCATATGATGCGCTAATTTTCTGTGATGTAGATGTTGAGCAATTCAGGAATTTGCGTCGTTTGCTCTTGTGCTTTGAAGCCGTATCTAGATTGAAAATAAATTTGGGAAAATCTGAGGCTATCACAGTGGGAGAGGTCGATAACATAAAGTTGGTTGCGATTTTGGGTTGCAGGGTTGTGCAACTGCCCATTACATATCCTGGACTTTCTTTAGGAACATAGTTTAAAAGTACACAAATTTGGAACAATATTGTGGAAATGGTGAAGAGAAGGCTAGCGGGTTGGAAGCGTATGTACCTCTCAAAGGGAGGCCGTCTCTTTCTCATAAAGTCCACTTTGTCGAATCTCCCTACTTATTTCTTGTCATTGTTTCCTATTCTTGTTGCAGTGACAAAAAGATTAGAGAAGACTCAAAGGGAGTTTCTTTGGGGAGGATCAGGGGGAGAGAAAATTACATTTGGTTAACTGGCGTGTAGTATGTTCTCCCATAAGGTTGGGTGTTTTCGGACCGAGGATTATGGGGTGAGTTTGTGGTGGTAAATTCGGCGAGGGTGAAGTGACTTTCGGGATAGATTGACTTTTGTAGTGGGGAATAGTATTTCCATCAATTTTTGGGATGATTGTTGGTGTGGAGATCAATCGCTTAAGGTGAGATTTCCTTCTTTGCATCGTATTGCGTTGGTGTCGTCTGTCATGGTGAATGATGTCGTAGATGTATATAATGAGAGTTCCAGTTGGAACATTGTTTTTGGCCGGGGTTTGCAGGACTGAGAATTTGATGATTATGCGTTGTTTTTGACATCTCTGTGTATGATGTACACATCAGGGCAGGAGAGAGTATTGTAGTAGGTGAAGGTTGACACGAGATGGTATTTTTTCAATTCGCACTTATTTTAGATCTTTATTGGGACTTGTGGAGAGTTCATTCTCCTGGAAAATGGTTTGAAAATGTAAATTGCCTCCATGGGTGGCATTTTTACTATGGACGGTGGTTAGAGGACAGGTGTTAACGGTGGATAATCTTCGTACAAGGAGTTTTTATGTTACAGAGTGGTGTTATATGTGCAAGAGGAATGGGGAGACGATTGACCAATTGTTCCTTCATTGTGATGCTGTTCGTTTACCGTGGAACGATATTCTGGCGTCACAACACATGGATTGGGTGTTGTCGAGATGTATGGAAAATGTGTTAAAAGCATGGAGAAGAAAGTTTCGAGATAAGGATAGCAAACTTGTATGAGACCTTATCCCGGGTTTTATCGTATGGTGTATGTGGAGAAAAAGAAACAATCGATGTTTTGAAGATTTAAAACGGGCAACAGAACAGATTAGGAAATTGTTTTATTTGACATTGTATACTTGGTTTAATGCTGCAGCTACTAGGCATACGGGCTGCCCAATTTCATGTTGCTACTTTCTGATTTAAATTGATAATACACTTCATGTGTTTTATGCATTGATTAATAAAATAATTGATTACCTTTAAAAAAAAAAAGAAAATAGCTTTGATTATTTGACAACCAGAAGTTGGAAGTCTAAAAGCAATCTAGATTGTGATATTAAAGGGGATTGAAAATTTAGAATATAGATGGTCATGCGATTTATAAAATAAGAAATTGTGAGAACTGCTACTCAATAAAAATGTTTCAGCACTGAAGCAGAAGATATAAGGGACAGTGCAACTTCTAAAAAATGTCTATTTTTCCTCTCACAATACAATTTTGTTGCAGTGTATGGATAGATGAGAACTGATGAACAATTCCATTCTCTTAAAAGAAAATTCCTAAAGAGATTAAAAAAATCACTTCTTCCTATTATTTGTTCTTAAAACGTGAAGTTGTGCTCTAAATTTGGTAATCTACCAAGAATAAAAAATTTCAAGGGTTCTTTCGACCTTGGGTAGGCCAGAAAAATTATAAAAATAAAAAAATAAGAAAAACTGATAAACAGCCTTGCTCCCAATATATTAATATAATAGGAGAGAGACCCCAAATATCACTTTGCGCAACAAGACTGGTGCAGATTTTTAGAGATTGGAAGTAGTTTTTTGTCCTAATCAACGAAGGATACATTTTTTGCAAATAAGGTAAACTAGGAAGCCCTCGTCATGCCATAACATAATTTCATCTTCAAGAGATAGGTTCACCTCATGAGCTTTTTATCCCCGGTGTCATCTTCAAATAGTACAGGCCATCTAGTAGTCCCTTAGCACTGCCAATATTTTTTCCTAAATCCAAGTCTAAAAATCCTGGTGAGTGGAAAGTTGCTTAGCTACCCATAGATAACCTCAGTCCAACTCGTTGGCAGGAGAGATGCCAGGAAATGAAATCGGTGGGGGCAGATTTGGCACTCATCCGAAACAGGTTAGCTACTCTAGTAGCTGTCGATTAGAGTTATGGTATAGACGAAATTTTCTCATATTCGAAGCAAAACTATTTGTGTAACTAGAGAGAATCAGATTATAAATTACTAGTGTTGATTATGTGGAGGTAGATAAAAGAGAAATATAATTTCAAAAAACATAAAATTCTTTCAAAAATCCTGTCATTATTTTATTGCAAATACTAACATTTCATTATAATAGGAGGAATCCATAAAATGTCATTGTTAAAGAACTAACAATTAGCACCAGTAGCAACAAGAACCAATGTCTCAGAACTCGGGTTAAGTATTTTCCTGGAAAAGGATGGTCAAGAGTCAAAGTCGAGCTAGATGTCAACATTAACAAATTAAATAAAGTATTTTGTTAGATTTAGAGCTTGTTTTCCTGTTATTATGATATATTATAATTTAAAGGTCAAAGTCAAACTCTAATTTTAAACACTCGTTTTGTAGGGGACTCAACTATTACACACTTATTCACCACTCATTTCTACCACATTATAATTTCAGCAACTTGTAATGAAACACAAACAAGAGCTAAATGTTCTAGATTTTGTAGAAATGGAGACTCGGCCTAATTTATAAGAAAAATGATAAATCTTATAATATACATTAGTTAGTGAAAATGTAAAATCTTCTAAAAACTTATAATAACACATGCTGATTAGTATGAAAGCAATATTGAAAAACTTATTATGTGATTTGTTGCTCTTGAATCAATATTCCAAGGGGCTCTCTTTCTGAATAAACGCTCAAGGCCATGAAGAATTTACCTTGTTGAGGTAAAGAGAAAAAGGTTGAAGGGGTTGGGTTAGCTTTAGATTGATTTATGAATGTTTGGTCCTCTAGTGTTGGTTGGTAGTTGTCCATCCTGTGGTATTTCGATAAAACAGTTATTTCTTTCAGATTACTTGGTATTTCTCCTAGCATTAGGTTTACAATGAAACTTCCAACATGCCTCTCTCGAAGAATTTGAGGAAGCTGTGAAGTAGTGAGTTTTGTATCCTATGTGAATGATTAATCATTTGAATGGCATATTTTTTGTCAAATTTTCTTGATTTTCAAGCATCCATATGGATAATGTTGCAAGAAGACCATTGTGGAAGCACAGTATATAACTCAATAATGCATAAAACATTTGAAAGCAATGAACAATTATAGAACCCAATTTCGGCAAGAAGACCACCTTTTGCCGACAGCTCGAGAGTTTGGATTCACACAAACATGGCTTGTTAATAAACATTCTCCTACTTACTGTTACATTTTATTGGTTTGATCATATTTTGCACGCCCGTGGTTAAGATTGCATTGAAACAATTGAAAATTATCAGGAGAACTATTATGGAAAAGGTGAATCCTCATTATTTGATACCACTGCAATAAATTACAAATAATTTAACAATTGGAGGGCAAAGACGGGTGTCACTAATTGTTTTTTTAATCCTCTACTAGGGTTCACTGTACCCAATTTATGCTTTATCTGATACCTAATGACGACGATAGCAACATCTATATTCCCTTGCATGAAAAGTATTTTCTTGTATATTTAGGGCACCGTTGTGTTGGTTTTCCAACCAGCTGAGGAGGGAGGTGGCGGAGCAAAGAAAATGCTTGATGTTGGAATACTGGAGAATGTTGAGGCGATTTTCGGATTGCATGTATCTTCTAGTTATCCGTTTGGCGTGGTTGCCACAAGGCCCGGCCCCATTATGGCTGGCAGTGGTTTTTTCGATGCGGTAATTACAGGGAAAGGAGGTCATGCGGCCATTCCACAACATGCTATAGATCCCATTTTAGCCGCTTCAAACATAATTGTTAGTTTACAACATCTTGTTTCTCGAGAAGCTGATCCCTTGGATTCACAGGTACTTTGTGTACAGTTGGCAATTTATGGAAGTTTCATTTCTAAAGGTAAAACTTATCAGTTGATGTAACATCAACTATAATATTAAAACAGAAATTAGATCATAAGTCTCCATTTTGACATGTTTGCATAAATATAGAAATTTTATTATATAGAAGTTGGTCAGGAATTTCGGGAAAAAATTTCAGTGTTCACACTATTTTCCGTTGAAATAAGTGCTTCCTCGTAGTACCAAGTGTTTCCTTTTACTTGTTATGCACTTTCCATAGACCTCCTCAAAAGACTACTGTGACTTTTAAAGATGACCAGTTATTTTGTTCACCCTTAAAGGAGGTCCCTTCTGAATTTATTTTTCTAAGAATAATGCTATTCAGCCCACTGGTGCTTAGCACCCGTGTAGCTGTCAATTAGTTGATTGAACACTTAAATATGACTCTCTCTCTTCATTTAAGATACCCAATCATTTAAGGACACTTAATGTGAAGTTAGATTGGTGCTTAGTATCAGTGGAGTTGAATAGTATTACTCTTTTTTTAACAATTAAAATGAGAATTGGCGATTTGGCAGGTAGTCACTGTTACTAAATTTCAAGGTGGTGGTGCATTTAATGTTATTCCCAATACAGTCACAATCGGTGGAACTTTTAGGGCATTTTCTAAAGAAAGTTTTATACAGCTCAAACAGCGTATAGAAGAGGTAAATTTTCGATTTTGTTTATTTTGGAGTTTTGTTGACTCCATGATTTTACGACTTCAAGTTGTTCTCTTATCTACTCATCCATTTTATGTATTTCACATGTGAAGAGAAGTATCTTTGCTTGTAAATTATTGGTAACACTACTTTGGCTATATAACTGGGGGTGGGGGGTAGTAGGGGGAACTGCACTGTTGGTCCCTAATCTGTTGCTTTATTAGCAAGTTGGTCCCCCAACCTTTTAAAAAAGATCAATTTGGTCCCTGGCCGTCCATATCTATGTTAAATTGTCTCGTGACCCACCCTGACATGTTCTTCATTATGGAGCTAGATTTTGCTTCAAGGCTTGGGTTGGTGTCGACAAATTTGAAGTAAGACATGTTTCTATAAGGGTCATGCATCAAGTTAATGAAGATGTGGATAGTTTCGATTGTTGGGACTGATCTATAATGAAATTTGAGGACCAACTTGGTACTCGGACACTAATTGGAGGCCACTATAATGCAATTTACAGGTTATCACCCTACAAGCTTCTGTACAAAGGTGCAATGCAACTGTGAGCTTTAACACAAATGAGAAGCCTTTCTACCCCGTGACGGTGAATAATGTAGATTTGCACGGGCATTTCCTGGAAGTAGCTGGGAATATGCTGGGTGGCAAGAACATCATAGAGATGCAGCCGATTATGGGAGCAGAAGATTTCTCGTTCTTTGCTGAGGCAATCCCGGGATACTTCTACTATCTCGGGATGATAAATGAGACTCAAGGACGACTGGAACCTGCCCATTCGCCTTACTTCAAAGTAAATGAAGATGTACTTCCATCTGGTGCTGCTTTACATGTATCATTGGCTGTAACATATCTTCTTGAATATCATTCTCAAGTGACAAGACAGAAGGGAAGTTCTCATGATGAACTTTAAATTGTTGGAATTATAATTTTAGGGGAAGATACCAGGTTTTTGACAGTTTCTTTGTTAAAGCTTTCTGCTGCAAAACTTTATATGTATGGGATCTTTATTCTAGCATGTTTGGCTAAGCTTAGAAAGTTAACTTATACGTAAATAACTTATATAAATAATTTTTCAACTGTGTTTGTAGCTCACACGTCTTCCATTTATATAGTGAAGTTGTAGATGAGTTTGACGGCCCAACTAAAATGGGTTTTGTCTAAAAATGAATTTAAAATATTAAGCTCCCGTTTGGCTCCCATTAAATTTATAATACATTTTCCATTTTTTTTTTTGCTTAATCACACATTTTTCAATAAAATAATATTACACATAAATAAAAAACTGTTGCTTTTTTTCAATCACATTTTTGAAGAAAACACTATTCCAAAAATTATATTATCAAATAATGGGAGCCAAAAGGGGGCTAAAACTGCAAACGCATATTTCCTTTCGTGTTTTAATACAAGCCACCTATGTACCTCAAGAAAAATGTCAAAAATCCCAAATAAATTTCAAACATTGAGATGGAACAATTTTGGTACCGTAAGCAGAAAATTTTTATACTTTTCGTTGAGTAAAATCGTGCATAGTAACCATGAAATCAAGCAGGAATGCATATAATGAAAATTTTGATACTTTTCCTAGAGTAAAAGCGTGCATAGTTACCATGAATTCAAATAGAAATGCATATAATGAGCATCCAGATTCCAAAATTAAATAACCAAAATGATGGTAAGGTAATGGTGTTCGACAATCAAAATCCGAAACGGCAGTTTATAGTACTAACAACGCTATAATGACAAGAGAGAAACAACTAATCCATGCTTCTAAGAAAACTATTGATGCCCTCCAATTTACTTTGAGGATGAATTTGGTGACTTCTTCTTGCCAAAGCCAACAACTGCAAGCAATAGTAGAAATTCAAAAGCTAAATTAGTACTTGAGCATCATTATATTTCCAAACCCAAAAAAAATATTTAGCATTCAATACAAGAAAATTGCATGGAAGTTGGATGAATATATTAAAGAGAAGACCAAACAAAATCTGCTCTGAAAATTTTATTTGACTCGTGTTTATCAAACCACTTTTCATCTACACGTTTCGAGGGATCCATAGGGAGTACCCATATATAATCTAACCATTTATAAACACTTCCCAGACATGCAAGTTTAGTTATTGAAAGAAACAATCAAACTTGAGAGTATCAAAGGCTGTAAAAATAGGTAACAGTGTCAGTTTTTTTTCCTTTAAAAATTCTTCGAAGGACCATATAAATAGTTTCAATTTTAGTGAAAGCAATAACAAAGCAAAATAAATAGCGACTTTAATTGTATCCATGTAGTTGAGTTTAGGCTTGGTTTTGCAAGCTACTTGGAGCACCTTCCTCTAACAATCCTATATAAACACACCATATCAATTACATCAATTGCTCTAACTACAGGCACATTGAAGCTTAGCCCTATTTGGCAGGAATTAAAATCCAAATTTTAATCTTAAGTCAAAGTTGAAAACTAATTTTAACCACATTTCATGGGACCCACAATTTTTCAATCACAAATCTCGCAACTTCCATCAAAATATACTAAATCTGATTGTAATCCTTACCAAACAGGGCCAAATGTGCGTGCATATAACTAATTAGACACCCTCTGCAAGCAGTTTTTAAGCGTTTGCAATGTGTTCTACCTAAGATGGCTGTATTGATACAATTTTCTAAGAACCAATTATTGTTTATTGACCGCGTTCCCAATGAAAACATAAGCAACATCTATCTCAAATTAAACACTGTGAATTTCCCCAAATGTATAGATGTAAAGGATACAAAGTAAAATTTGTGCCCAGCAAATTAGCAAGAACATTTTTACTCGAGTACTAAACTGCTAGAATCCAAAACACCATATAAAACTATTATTCAGATTTTATTTCTCTTATAAACAAAACCAAGAAGAAAATAAAACGTAAAGTTAGCATTCAAGCAAATTAAGGGTTACCAGCAGTGACGAAGCGGCGGTTGTATTGCATCCGCTTGTGGGCACGGCCGCGGGGCTTCTTCTTCTTATCCTGCTTCGCCACCTTGGGAGTCTGCCCTCTGACCTTTCCGGCGCGAGCCAATGATCCGTGAACCTTACCTGCAATTTTACACAATCGAATCACATTATCGTTAATCATCTAATCAAATCAATTCAGAAACAGATGCATGTAAGATGATGACTATTTCGTTGATTTACCCATGATTGATTTTTCTGAGTCGCCTGAAGCAGAGAGAAGCCGCTGAGAGGAAGCTAAAGATGAGGAGTTTCTGAACTAGGGTTTTGTGACATTTAAATGTTTCAAAATGGGCCAAAAACAAAGCCTCAATTTTAATTTCGGCCTAATAAGCCCATAACCATAAATAGCCCAAAGAGCAGAGAATAAAATAATTATTAGCAAATTTTATTTTATTTATTATTATTATTTTATTTATTTTTATTGTCAATTCGCTTCTTAAACACGAGTGCAGATAAAAATAGAGTTTGATCACTTTATAGATAATTATAAGTTCGCCAAACATACACTTAGACTAAATGTGGACTCGTGAATTTCAATGAGGTTGCTTTGCGATTATTGTGAAGGATTATGGAATTGGGTCTACCTCTCTCGCCATATGAATGGTATTTAGACATATGACGATAGGAGATAGTGAAGCACGAAGAATTTTGTTCAGGGTTCGAAAGGATGATTCTTTTCGCTACATGGATGGAAAACATTAGGGGTGCGTTTGATTGCAAGGGTGGAAGATGATTGGAAAGAAAATATTTTATAGGGAAAAGATTTGCCTAAAAAATGTTTTGCTGGGAAAATAATTTCAAGTGTGTTTTATTGGTATAATTTTTCACCCGAAAAAAATTTGAAATTTTGGATTTTTTTTGTTCACGTTTGACTTTATTTTACATGGAAATTATCCATTAAAATGAATTTTTTTTTTTTTTTATAATTGGTTATGAAATTTGTTTCCATTGCCAAAAAAAAAAATTA